GATACTACTGTTTGTTCAGAGAGCTCTGAAAGCTAAACATTGTCTCATTTCACTTACAGTAAGGATCCAAAGAAAACCTAGCAGCCACAACTGACTTAATGGAGAAGAATCTATTCTGTGAATATTGAAATTATGCATTTCCAACTTTGCTCCTATCTTGGCTTGGATCAGTATGAAATTTAATTCTATTAAGAATCGAAGTCTTCACCTTCCTGAGAAAGTTTATTCCCCAAGCCATACAAATGTATGAATTCTATACGTCTGGTATGCTCCCCCTTTCATCTGCACAGTTAAGTTATTACCTCCTTCTATTTAACAATTTAATAAAAAGCTTCATAAAAAAAAAGTTTCCATTTCTATTTTCCAGTAGTCCCTTCCAGCCTCACACAATATCAATGTTGTCTTACTTCTTAGCACCCTTCATTCAGCAAGAGGTATCTCTTAAGAGTATCATAAAGATGTTATCATAGGTTTAGACAGCTGAAGAGACCAGCTGTAACTTTACAAATTCGCTTTCTATTCTCCACGGTCTTCAGCATGAAAGAATGTCCTAGAAACAGCCTCTTTTCCTAGCCTAACATTCTAGCTTCCAAAAATGACATCTCTCTTAAGTGATCCCATTACATCCTTAAATCACAAGAAAGACAGATACTGACAAAATTGTTGCCATAAAATATCAATACACCCTATTGCAGTTTTCCTTGTACAGTTCTGGTAGGCAGGGACCACCTAAGGGTGCTTTTTTATCCAGAAGCCATTTTTACTCCACAGACACAGTTAAGCCTGTGGCAGGATAAGAGCTGAACTAGATAATGCTGCCAGAGTTCATGTACTTCTTCAGTTCAGGGAAGAAATCTTTTGTGAGGCAAGAAACTAAACTTTCCTGTTCTGATCTCTCAAGGAGAGAGCTGTAAGATTGGCAGAGCCCCTGGAAAGCTCATTTCTTAGTCATTGTATGTAATGACACTTTGTTTTTTTCTAACAGATCTGAGAGCAAAATAGGCCAATATTTTACTCTTGTAGAGATAGTTAAACATATGAGTAACCTTAGCATATAACACTTGCATGTGCAGGTCTGAAAAAAGGCAAATGCTTTTCCTGTTCTTATTCTGTAATGCTAGGAACCTTGGAACTTTTGTACAGAAATAGAATTCTAGAAAAGAACAGTGGGAAATTAACTTGAACTACAACTAAGGTTTATACAGCAAGTTATTGATTTATTTTCTTTTGTTAAAGGAGGCACCAAAGAGAATGCATTTACAAGAGTTTGCTCAAAGCTTGCTCTGTGTTTATATTTGATGAAGGATTGGCCACTTCTTTAAAGTTAGAGAAACCTTAACCCCATTGAAGATTGATTCCTCATCCACAGTAACAAATGGCTGTGCAAATGCGTCTGAAGACAGGAATTTTGAGTCTGCTTTAAAACAGACATTTCTTTAGTTCTTAAGACATTGGAACATAGGTTCAGCTTCTAGTTATTCTACTTCTACTTCTTAGCACTTACGTGTTGCTATCTGTACATCATATAAGAAGTAGTCTTTCTGGAATATTGTTAAAAATGCAGTTCTAGAGAAAAATATTTGAGTGCTGTGATTCCCGAGCCCCTACAAAACAAAGTGGAGGAAACAATACCAGAAAGCAAGAATTTACTGGTGGTTTGGTGAGGACCAATTTTGTTATTTCTGATATAAGTAATGAGGGCTTTTTTTTGTATGGAAATACAAAATGAAAAACAAACAAAAAGCATTGATCTGTATGGAACACTTAAGATACACAATTTTCATGTACTTCAGTCAGGAGTGCACCTTCTAAAAGCAGAGGTCTCTCAGTTCTCTGTCAACATATTTTTCAGACTATACTTAAATGCCTATTCAGTCTTGTGCTTCCCTTCTGAGATTTCTGCATGGGCCTCCATCATAATGATATTTTATTATTATTATTATTATAGTGACATCCCCATAGATACCTTTATACACAGCTTTACAGATTTTTTTTTTTTCTGTGGCTTAAACAGGATCTGGCACCAAACTTCTGAAAAATGAATGCCAGAAAACACAACGTCTGCTTAAAGAAACCCTAGTACATGAAGGAGTTTGGAGAGTTTCCAAGGAAAAGTGCCCATTTACTGGCTTATTAGCTTTTATGAAAGCTTCATGGAGCAAAATCTCTTTCTTCTGTCAGGAATGACAGACTTCGATGAGCATGGACATTTGCAACTTGCAAGCAGGTAGTGTGCTATTTACCCCTCAAGATTTTATGGCAGTGGAATTTCAATGGCCTTCAAAGAGCTTTGGCTTGTAGGTGGAGATACTCACAAGGAAGCACAGCTGTGTTCATAAGGCCTGTGCTGAAGCTTCTCAGTGCCATGATATGCTCCCTGAATTTTTATTTATTTATTTTGACAAATTATAACTTTTGCAAGTTGACATTTGCAGGATCAGGTTCAGAATACTTGTCCTACCCCAACCTGCTGGCAGAAGCCATTCTGTTCAGAAGGATCATATCTCCACCTCTGACCATATAGCACTTAGAGACATTGAAGGTTTCTAGTTTTGGGGTTGTGCCACAGAGGGAGAAGCTGAGGTTTGTTTCAATGCTGGTCATTTGATCCAAGCTAATTTGGGCATATGGAAACCTTCACATATGCAAAGCCCCCCAGGGATGGAACAGAATATCTCTTTTAGGACACCAGCTCTTCTTCCAAACTACATCCATAGCAATCCAGCCAGGCCAGTCCTTGCGGAGAGATTCTTAACAGAAATACAAAGATTGGCAGGAATGTTGTAGGGATGGAAGTGTGCACGTGTGAGAAAGCACTGAAAGAAGCAGCAGAACAAGGGTTACAAGAACATCCTGTATTGATAACAAGGGACACCATTCCCATGACACTGCTCCCACGACACTGCACCCAGGAGGATCATAGAGGAATGCGTTGTTTCTGGCATGACCACAGGGCCTACGCTCCATTCAGGTAACAGCACAGACGATTTGTCAGTGGAAGATCTCACGCCTTCCTGCCAGCAAGCTTACAGCAACCTAATGTGCCATTCCTTTTCCTGTTACCCCAGCAGGAAAACAGACATATCCTGCCAGCAGCAACAAATGAGCTGCCCAAACACCAGGGACTTCTGTGAGAAGGCACAGGGCTGCAACTCCCATGTTTGTTTCAGTGGTGTTTTCCTTTGTGATCTGAATTCCTCTTCACAAGGCACCACGCAGATATGGGACAAATAGACTGTCACCTTCAATTCCAGGCCTTCCACACTGGGGTCTTTGGGCGCAGTCCTCAGGCACATGCAGGATGCCCGTACTGTGAAGCACCCTGCCACACCGCCCATGCTGGCAGTGACAACACAGTGTGTTGGATCCCGTACCTACAACTTCTGCTCCTTTCTGTCCTGGAGCTTCTTCCCCATCCCGCTGCCTGTTTTCATTCCCCATACCCCCTCCCACTGAGCTCACAGAAGAATCTTCATAGAATGAGGAGATGCAGAGAGGGAAAACAGATATTGCCTGAATTGGCCTGTTTTATATCTGTTTCTGGAAAAAGGCAAAGCCAGTATCTGAAAGAATACTCATTTCCTGATTTTTTTTTTTTTTTAATTTTAATTATCATGTTTTCTTTGCTTTTACTTAAAGAAATCCCAAACATTTTAATCCATTTATTCCTATTTAATTCCAGCTTTGATAACATGAGACAAACGCATTTAATTTGGCATATTGTATTGCACATTATATTTTAGCCATAATTTTTCAGTGACTATTGTTTCTGAACTCTCAGGCAGTAAGGAAGTTCGTCTGTATGTTTAGCATATAGAAACAATGACAACCAGTGCTGTGTGGCCAAGAAGTGCTCCAATCCATGAATTACAGATGAAAAGCATTATACTATGGTACACTTCATATTTATAAATAACTTCTTGGAGCAAGCATGGGAAAAAACAAACAAACAAACAAAAAAAAACCACAACACATACATTTTAAAGTTACTACTCTATTTTCATTATTATATGTTATCATATATTCTATTTACTACTGTATAATTACAGTACCTTGACTAAACTGTGGCCCAATATTCAATAGGCAATTCCAGTGAAACAGACAATGACAGTAAGAATTCTTTTCCTTCAAAAGGGTATTCAAAAAAATAATAATATTGTTTTAGAGAACTTTTTTTTTTTTTTAATAACTTCAAAATTTGGCTTTCTGAGTATTAGCAGACCAACGGATAAAATGTAAAATCCATTTTCTGTCTTTTATGGGGGTTTGCAGACATAATAAAAGGAATATGGAGTAATGCACTACTTAAGATGTCACCTTGAACTGTAAAACTGTACAAAGTGTTACTTATATAGAGATACTAACACTACATAAATAGCTATTTTCATAAAAAGATACAAGTAAAAATTAACCAACTATAGACATGCAAATCAATATGCAAACAAGACTTCCAAACTGAAGACCACTTTTACAAGTAAAACTGAAGAAAAAAAATTCATTCAGTTGGATTTTAGCATGGATGTAAAAACAGTCACTGTCTTCTTCACCCTTTTCATTCACACCAGACTGACAGTATAGTGGATGTCACTTGTTTCTCTGCAGGTTTCTGTCCTCTGCAACTGATGCACTTTTCTCAGTAGCAAGCTGGTTTTTCTAACTGTTGCTCCTGTGCTGGTGTAGTTGACAGCTTTGCTTTCCATCGCACACAGTGTTTACAAGGTAAAATCCATCTTGAGATCAATGTAATTTCACTTCTGACTCAAGTTTCTGATTCATATTTGCTGTAACATTAACCACATGGTAACCAATTTTAACCCTGTGCCTAAATGAGTCATATTGAAAACTACATAATTGTATGAAAACATTAACTGATGGCTTTTAAGCAGATTTAATTCATTTTCCTAATATTTATCTCAGCTGCTGGCCGTCTCAGGCAGTGCCTCTCACACACCTGGGACAACCGGGTTGGAAATAATTTGGTTAGAAATTAACCCGTTTGGTTGGAAATTAACCTATTTGGTTGGAAACGAACCCGTTTGGTTGGAAATAACGAGCCCGCGGCTGCCCCGCGCCGACCGTTAACGGCCAGCACAGCGGCACGCGCTCGGGGGCAGCTGTCCGTTAAATCCCCCTCCCCGCCCAGCGCCATTTTGGAGAAGAGGCTGCCGCTGGGGGCAGGAGGGAGGTCGTCAGCGGGGCTTGCAGGTTGAGGGAGCTAACTTGTGAGGTAAAATGTAGAGGGTTTTTGTTTGTTTTTTGCTTAAATCCATTTATTGCTTCAGTGAGGGCTTCAGTGTAACAGTCAGGTTCTTGTCTGGTCATTAACGCCTCCCCCAGCTCGCTTTCGTAATGCATGCTTCAGTGTGGAACATTTCTTCTCCAAGTACATCAGTTACGCACCTATTAGAGCTTCTATAATCCAAGAGGTAGAAAGGGCAGTAGCAAGTGAGAAGTTTTCAAACTGCTTTGGAAATGCAAGCTGAAAAGTACTGGTTAGTCCCATAGAAACAACACCGCTCTTGTCTTGCAGGAAATGTCTTGACAATGTTTCCATTTATATCAAACATACAAGTGAAATGTTGATACTCCCATGCAACTTTTTGTTATTCTTGCTAGTTTAGTCAGTAATCACAAAATAAGAGGCCATTTCTGATGGATAATTTATTCAGTCCTCTTTTTACTTATTTTCAGAAAATGCTCAGAAAGTTTCCACTTTTTTTTTTTTTTGTCTGAGTTTGTGAATTTATTTGGAAAATATTTTCCCTGAATGAATATTTTATGAACAACTTGTTGTGGATATTTATTAGTCAAATTTTAGCATTAATTCAGGGTTGGTTAGGCACCTAAGTAGTATGGTTTCTGCATCATAATTGAGTGACTTGTGCAGCTTACCCACACATTTTCCATTTAAAGTGTGAATAATCATATTCAAGCATGTATTTTGGACTATTTACGCTTTCACGTTTAAGTTTATTTTTGCAAATTTATGTAAAGCTACATTAAAAAAAAATCTAAAATATTAGAGGATTTTTTTTGCATTGCTTACTGATGACTTAAAATTTTTCCATTGCTTACTACTTTCCGTTGCTTACTAATTATTTTTTGCTGCCCTAGATTTTTCCTGCAGTTTCAGCAGAGTAAAGCCTTCTTTCACTTCATCTTGAGAAGTTCCTACGTTCTGAGAAACGTTTGTCACAGTACACTGCAGAGGGATCTTCACTCCAGTGAAGTCTGTTTATCCAGTGAAGTCCTGTGGGATACTTTAAAGAAAGGTATCTCAAGATGTCATTTTTTTTTTCCATATTTATTCTAAAATGACATTCATCGCTCTTAAACCTAGGAATATATTGATTAAAATGAGGCATTTATGTACATATTTATTTATATGTTGAATAGAAATAATTTTTCAAATCTGTAGATCTTTAGTTTCATTTAAAGTCAGTGACAGACATACTTAATGCTTACTGAAATAAATAGCTATTCACATGGTGATATTTAAGCATTTAGCTCTAGCATGACTGCGCCTTTTTATTCTCTAGCTGTAATTTCTAGATATCCTTCATCACAAGGAGTGCAAAGCAAATTTGGTAATATTGACCATGTGCAGCAGAAGCTATATTATCTACAAGAATTTTCTTAGTTTTGTAATAAACTTCAGTTAAATCTACGGATTGCTAGTGTCTGAAAAAACATTTGCTTTTGGTGGTTATAGGTGAGAAATGCAGAATACCAGGGAAGGTTTTTCACTGAAGTTACAGCAGAGCATTGCTATGTAGGGATAAACATCTTGCTTCCTAGGTAATTAAATTCCTCATTGCTGGTCAGCACTGCTAGTTTAATCTGTCTCAGTGCAATTAAGAACCCTATGTCTTCCATGTAAGAATCAGATATTAGCAAGGACCTGGAGTTGTCATGGCAGTGGAGAATCACTAGAGAAAGCAGAGGAAAGAATTTGGGGTAACTCCGTTACTGTGGGGATGGCAGAGCACTAGCACAAGTTGCTCAAAGAGGTTGTGGAGTCTTCCTGCTTGGAGATGTTCAAAAATAATCTGGACACGGTCCTGGGCAACTGGCTCTAATTGATCCTGCTTGAGCAGGGTGTTGGACCAGATGGCCTTTGGAGGTCCCTGCCAACCTCAGCCATTTTGTGGTTCTGTAGCTGCAGGGGAAGGAACGGCGTGCTTGAAGTAAGGAAAGAATCTGTAGTTGTACTTTAAACAGGAGATTATAGTGAAAGCATAACTAGGGGAGAGAGAAAGAAAGTTTAGGAGGTAAGGAAAGGCCTAAAGTATTTCAGGATACAGAGTAGTGTTCAGGAACTGAAAAATAATTTTCGTCCTGTAAAAAATGGTTTGGAGTTATTGATTACCTCACATCTGAAATTTTGTCAGCAAAAGCATCAGAGAGTATTATCGGTGTCATTGTAGAGTAGTCAAATGCTTTTTTTTTTTAAATCCCTGATCAAGATCACTTCTTCCTCTGACATAGCCAATTGACATATTCACTGTCTCATCTTGTCATTCAGGGAGATTATGTCATTTTGATGAAAGAGCCATTTATGAATCTCACATACCTACAGGACAGCAGAGCATATTGCCAAGCTGTTTTTGTCTCCATACAGATGCATTATTTCACTTTCAGTTGGCTTATCATTTATTTCATGACTGCAGGAGTAATTTTTCTCTGTAACGCGTTCTATATGTAAGGTAGTTGTGTATTTGTCTCCTGGATGTTTAGAAATATACTAGTTGTTTCCTGATGAGATCTACCTTTTCCTTTACTGGAGGTGGAACCATTCCTACTGAAGGGGTGCCATAATGTCTTCTGGGAGGAAGAGCAGCTGTCTCAAGCTCAACTTGGGAAAAACTGAAGTGGTATTGTCCAAAATACTCATTTTCTTCAGGAAACATTTGCCTTCCCAATTAGTCCAAAAGCCCAGGCTCTGAGCATTATTTCATGCAATAGACAGCTTTAAAGGGCAGTAAGAGACATGGGGAAGAGGTACACAAGGAAGCACAGTCACTATCATTTGTATCTCAGATATTGTCTCCTCTGCCAGAACACTGGTATATTGACTGAATCACAGAGTTGATCACAAATCTGCCGTGGACCTCCAGAAAATGAGTTATGGAAGCCACCAAAGCAAGTTATGCTCTCATAGACAGAGCTTTTTCTTTGTGAGGATATTCATAGCCCTTTTATGAAGATATTTGACTGGCTAGTTTTATTTGGTAGATATGGAATGATATGGCAGAAGTTTTTACTGACATTTTTGATGGTTAGAATTTTCAGTATGAGTCACTCTATGACACCCCCCACACAATCATTTCCAAACAGCTTCTCCTCAGATGTTTGTCAAATTCCCTGACCAAGTCTCATGCTCTTTATAGGAGCATTACAAGGAATTTCAAGCAATAGTCTATGAAGAACTGACATCCAAGATCTGATTCTTCTGATACTAGAGATTAATCCATAATGCGTGCTGCATCTGTAACCCATTTATACAGCAGTGGACGCCTCTTTTTATTGTAGATTTATGCAACAGTGGTCCCAGTTCATTGTTTTTTAGGGCTGATTCATTTTTTTTTTTGCATTTCACAGTGTTAGATACTTTGCTACTTTTAAGGATTTATGCCACAACATGCTAGTTTTCAGAATTTGAGGGTTTTTTGATGCACACCTATGACTCCATTTTTATAATTTGATTTTTATGCATATCAGACATTCCCTGGCTTTTTGTTTCTCCATGTGCAAGAAACACAAAGAGAAATGAGTTTCCTGGGCCGTTTTGTCTAGATACAATCTCGTCTGAACACTTGATGTCATTGGGCAGTTTGGGTTTGTTATCTGGGAGAGCAATTCTTACATTTCTCCAGGGGATGAGAAGATATTCTGTACATTACCGTCAGTCACTGTATGAGAAGCAAACAGATGTCAGAAAGACAAACTGATAGCTGAATTAGCACATCATATTAATGGTTATGCTGTTGGAAATGGTATAAGCCGTCTGATGAATGAAGACCAACTATGTAGTAAGGTAAATCTACAAAAGAAAGCAACTAAAACATAAGGAGGTATTGTGTAGAATCATAGAATATCCTGAGTTGGAAGTGACCCACAAGGATCAGTTACTTAATTAGTTATGTTTAACCTCTTAACTTTACCACTTCTTTTTTCAGTATAATGTACTCTAGAAAAAGCTCTGCAGTTTTTTGTTTTTGTTTGTTTGTTTGCTTTTCCTGGTAAGGTTTCCATTGGCTGAACAGATTATAAATCAAGAAAAAACTTATTATGATTAAAATAAAAAATGCAAAGGGCTGCAAGTAGCAGAAGCGGTACAAACAGTGAAAGGGGAATCTTAAAAGTGAGAATGAGAACGACACATGCTACTTACCTCTTATCATCTGAATTGTATAACTTTCCTTGTGGTTTTGTATATAGAATACCAGTCTGTCTGGTAGAATTACATCTTCTGTTTTAGTAACTGACATAATATTAAAGGAATGACACCCCAAGAAATCAGTATTTTACAAAGTTTAAAACAGATCTTGTTTCCACTGCTTACAGCTTAGATTCCTATCATTTTAACCAAAGTACATGTAGGGTGTTTTACAGTGTTTACTGCCAGTTATTCTTTTTTAAATGACAACTCATGCAGTTATGGATGCATTGCATGATCTGTAGAGGATTCATGAGAATCGTGCATGTTCATGGAACAGAAGAAGGAACCACCAACCACAGGCAAGGAAACAAAGTTCTTTTTAGATTATTAACTTTGCAGATTGCACCCATTCATTTGCTACCTCTTAATTCTTTCCCCTGGGCCCATAGCATGACATGTCAAGCAAAGGGCAAAAGCATAACTTTGTTATCTGGCAGATGTCCACATTATATAGCTCAGTGCTCCATGGAAGGTGAAGTAAAAGCTATGTATAGATGTGACCTTAGGCACACGCAGATGCTGCACGCAAGTACAGTAATGCTAATCAACCAAGTAAAGCTGCAGTATCAGGGACTAGGTGAGTCAGCAAAGCTTCTGCAAAGAGAACATCAGGCATAACAGTTGCTAAGATACCAAGGTTGCAACAAAAAAAAAGTAATACTAAGTGAGTTTCCTTATTAATAACTTGCTGCAGCATGTGTGTAGTAACAGTGGCAAGCAGAAAAAACAATGGACATGAAGAGCAAGTTCAGTCATACGGTAGGGAGGAGCAGGGCCGTAAGTGGGACTTCTGAGGCTCATCCTGCTGGAAAAACTCGGCAGCAGTGGCAGGTTAATAAAGAGCTATTACATGTTCATTTTCGTTTTGTTGTGAATGTGGCTGTTGGCTTGAATTTTGCTGGAAAAGTATGGGTTTTATCAGGTACAATATCTGAATGTTAGCATCTGTGTAATGGAAACCATTTTAAGCTCATTAATCCATGCCTAGGACTTGCCTTAACATTTGGCTTTACTAAAAAGATGCTTGTTCTTGTTGACTGGAAAGTGATAAAGTGATTTCAGTGCAGGAACCACTTTTTAGTGGCAGACATTGTCATTTGTATTTGAAAATAATGTTGTAAATAATGCTGTACTTTATGAGCTGATATGTAATATTTTTTAAGTAATTGAGAAGTTGGGAAATCTGCCTACTATCCTCAGCAAGCTGCTTCTGCTTAAATATATATTGTTTTTTGTTGTTGTTTTGTTTTGTTTGTTTGTTTTCCCAGTTCCAGAGTGTGAAGAGAGATTTATTTTTCTTTGGATGGCTAATACAGACTATATGGATAATAAAAATATGGCTTGCTTTTCAAGAAGAAAATGTTTACTAGATAGTCTGAGGTCTTGAAAAAACAACTAAGATTGTCCAGATGTTTAGGTTCTCTGACCTGACTTGCATTGTGTTTGTATTGATTCTGGTAAAAATGCCACGCGTAGCACAAATGGTTTTATTCAAATTAGCCACTTAACGTTTTGAGACTTTCCGTAATGCTGACTATTAAAATGGGTTATGCTTTAATTACATTACAATTTTTAAAGAGCATAATGAAAGCCTTAAGCAAGTTCTGCAGAGCAAGATTGAAATACTTACCCCTGAACTTTAAATTCACAAACTTGCCTAAGAGAAAGTGCACAAGAGATTGAACAAATAGGTCTTTGTTACCAATACAAGTATATGAAAGTAGGAAGCATGGAATATACAGAATTGTGTGTGTGTGGGGGCGGGGGGTGGTGCAGAGTGCAGCAGAAAAAAAAAACAGAGAAAAATGAGGGTTCTGGGAAAAGGAACATGGATTAGAGAACAAGCTGAGCATCCTTGGGCTAGCAGTGCGGTTGTTAATTATTTATGGTGAATTGCAGATTAACTGCGCTGTGGATTCAGAGGCAACACTGCAGACTCTGTGAGGAGCCAACAAGGGTCTTTAGAGTTTGTTAGCTTAGATGCATTGTGGTGCAAACACGGCTGTGGAATGGCCATGGCCAGCTTAGCAGCTAATGAAAATTTTGCAAGACCTTATTTTTCCTAAAGTGCATTCTAGAAAAACTTGCTTGGATTTGCTGTTGTTCCTTACAGTTATATTCATGGAAATAAGGCTTTTGACACATTCTTAGTAATACACTGTATTGCTCTGAAGAAGGTTGGCCTGTCACAAGCTGCTTTTGCTGCTGTTTATAAATCAGTCTTTCTGAGAAGAAAAACAGTTACCAAATAAAACAAAGTTGAATGTGGGAATGACCTTACCTTCAGCTTACACAAAGAAAAATCTTTTCGACCTGTCCTGAATAAGTAATTTTCTCTCTTGTGGAAGTCATCTTGTGCTGAATATAGGGTAGAAAGAGAACCCTGTCAAAAATAAATAAATAAATAAATGAAGAAGAGAGAAATTGACCTGAAACTGAACTGTGGAAGAGAGAAACAAAGAAAGGCGATCTGTTAGATGTCAAAGAAAAGTCAGAACTTTGGTGGAGTCAGTGGTTAATCTATGTCTTCAGTGCTGTTGTTCAGGAAAAACAGAACTTGTGTAATTAGTATTTTTGCATAAAAGGAAGGCTTGAAATTTTTACAGTCTTTGCAAAAGCAGTTGTGTGCTTGCTGTAGCTATTCTACTTTGGTCTTAGAACCGAGATATAAAGGGATCAATCTGAAATGCATACTCAACCTGATAATTGAACGCATTATTTTTATTTTCATCAATATATCTATAAATTATATCTGAGAAACAAGTCGTACAAATCCCTGTAATCATCTGGTGTCTTTAGCTCACAGTGTAACATTCTGTATTCCTGAGTTTACGGACTTTTCAGGACAAGTAGCTTGTGCCTCTGTGACAGCAGAATGGTTCTTCAGCTTGTTCTAGACACAAACCCAAGGGTTTATGTCTAACTCCATGACTAATTTACACATAACACAAGCAGTAAATACTCCCATTTTCTCATGTTTACTGCCCAACTGCTCAGTCCCACATGTCATACTAGCTTTATCCATTTTTGTCTTTTTCCTCTGTCTTCACGTGATCACATCCCTAAGTCTTTCCAGCTAACACTCCTTATGTCTTTTGGTGCAGACAGTCCACGTTGTGTATAGCTCCATATACCACCACTAACAGTTGGACTAGGATTGGCTCATTTAACCTCTATCTGTACCAAATCCTAAATTGTTTATTCCAGGCTTTTTTTGTCTTCCCTAACATAGATTCCTCCTTTATTCCTTAGAATCTAATGTGCTTTCTTTAAAATAAACAGGTAGGATACAAATCTGTTAGAACATATAAGACTAGCATCAGACTGAGGGCAAGATTGTTCCATGTTAAGAGGCAACCATACCTCTCTTTATGGAGTGAAAGTTCAAATAAATTTATTTTTTGACCAGGTTTCAAAATGTAATAATAGGCTAATAGTCTATTTTGTAGTACTAGAAATAAGCTCACAGGAAGTGCAATTGTAGTGAAATTGCCATGTACAGACACAGTTTACCTTTGAATAGTTTGAAGTTATGCCTTGTTTAGCCTTCTTGTGTCCAAGTGAAGGTGATACAAACAAATGAGTGATCATGATGTACTGTCCACGCTGTGATGATGCTATATTGAGAAGTTTCCAGAGAGGAGTTTCCCACAAGTTTATTGAGTTTGAAATTATATCACGGATAAAACCCTGCAGATGGCAGCAGTGCTTTATAGTTCAACATTGCAGCACAGCACTTGGTATGGTCTGAGGCAAAATCCCATACTGAAGACACTGATTTCCAGAGACTATTACAGTGACATGTTTTGCTAAGTAGTCAGCATATTACCGATGCTTTATTTATTTATTTAGTTTAGTTTAAAGAGGAAAGTTATAATACTTCTCAAGTTGCAGAAGGCTGGTTTTGCGCCTTGCTGAATCTGAGTTCATGATGCAGACATCTACCTCTGTTTCTGAGGTGGGGATTTTTTGTGTGTTTTGCTTTTTTCCAAAATGTTTTGCATCCTTCAGGTTTGCAGTAGGAATTTGACCTAGCTGACTTGGAGTAGTACAGCATACTAATACTTCTGTAACAGACATTCGTTCGTAGCAAAATTAAAGTGACTATTGAAAAAAAATCCTTTGTGTGGCAAATACCTAGTTCTAAGGACACTGCATCAAACAGAATAAGTGATGGATCGAAATACCTGACAAAATATCCTTGCTTATCTACTTGGATATGAAATATTATTTCCCTTCTTTTTGCTAGCTCTGTTGACCTAAGCTGATTTCTTGAGTCTATCATGCTGCTTAGGCTCATTCATCCATAATCTAATGCTTTTATCTCCTTTTTCTCATTCTGTTCTCAATAATGCTAATTTGTCTCAAAATTTGTACAGTCCACCTTTACATCTTCATCATCTCTTTGCAGTTGTTAATGTTCAATTTTGTTAAGACATAAAAAAAAAAAATCCAGAAGACTAATGATCAAACAGAACGTTATGCAGGTAAACCACTCTTCATGGTTTCTTTATTTTGTGATAGTCTTTCTATACCTAAAGCAAAGTTTAGTAGAAATCAGGTTTATGCAACACATTAAATATTTTGGCTGTTCCTCTTCAGTCTTCAAGTAAGAAGCTACTGTTTTCACTAACATTACTTTATCTGTGTGCTTATATTGTAATTTATTCAGGGCAATGACAGTACCTTTTTACTTTATGTACAAAGTCTCTGCGTATCTTGACTGAATGACTGGTTGTAAGCAGATGACTATTTTGACACAGTTTCCTAGCTGGCTTCATCAAAAAGATACAGTATGAAATAGTTTACTTTCAAAATATATGATAAACAGAGACTATGAAGCTTGAATATGTTTTTGATTCAAGATACGGATGTCTTAAGGGCAGTTTTGAAGCAAATGGATAGGACAGCTCTGCTGGATTGTTTAGAAGATTTGTTTCTTCAGGACTGAAAACTTTTGCCCTCTGCTAAAATCTCTGTATATTGCTAACTATCCTCTTATTTAGTCTGGGCACACAATTTTTTTGTGTGTTCCATTTCCTGGCCCATAATATTATATAATATTATTTGGTCCTAAAGATTATTGCATTTTAACTGTAGGGAAAAAGATCCCTGTAAAGCCTTTGGGATGCTTCAAGATGAATGATGTTATGAAAATTGTTACAAGTTTTACTGTTTCATATACTGTGAACTGATGAAAGACAGCAAGGCAGTTACTTCTCAGGATAATATAAAATTTGCCTTAGGTGGGACTATTCTGTTTACTGAACACTTCATTCACTCCCAGTGGAAAACCAGTGATGGCATTTGCTGTTTTCATAACAACCCAAAGAGGATGCTCTGCTGCTGACTGGCTGGCTACCCCCTGCTGGCTAAATAGCAAAGAAGTAATATGTGAGAAACTGCCAAAAATAACTTTAGCCATCATCACTGGAGCGCATAGATTCATTCCTACTATAAGGCTGCTTACCCTACAGCAAATCAATTTGGTTCACCTCCCATAGTGGTAGCTTACTGCCATGACTCTCTTGGGCATTCCTACTTTCTTTTTTTACTTCATGAGCAGCAGAAGAAGACAGGGTAAAGGGGAAGGGAGTAGCTGTTGAAAGAAATCTTTCATTGTGTAACTGAACTACCGATATTAGCTTTAAATCCACGTTGGACAACAAATGACCATACAGCATGTTAAGCTGTGCATATATATATGTATATGGTATGCCCTCATTCTGTGTAGTACGTTAGATGAAAGTTCAGCTTGGCTCTGATTTATATCTAGGAGGCCGAGAAGAAGTGCAAAGGGGAAATGATAAGAAGCAAGAGCATTTGACCTGTAAGGAGCTGTACTGTCGCGTTAAAGGGGTGTAGCTGATTAACCGTTACGGGCCCGGTTGGATTCAGAGTACTGAACCAGTCGGACATTCACCAAAACTGGGGGTCCATTCGGACATTCACCAAAAACGTAATAACCACCTGGGGGTCCGCTCAGACATTCACCAAAAACGTATTAACCACCTGGGGGTCCGTTCAGACATTCACCAACAATGCATTAACCGTCTGGGGGTCTGGTTAGATTCAGAACACTGAACTATCACGGATAACCACCCTCACCCTAGTTGCATTAATGAGAGCTATCACAATGCAATCAAGTATGGTTTATTACAGCAACAGATAATCAGGTTCTTTTGGATTGCCGGTGATAGTGACTATCTGCAAAAGCAAGCTAGTATGCATGAAATACAC